GTCAGGGCAGCTATGTGCTCCGCTGCGGATTTCTACGAGGCCGTCATGCGCAAGAAGTAGTGGGTCTAGTGGGAACGTCAGGCCCTAAAGAGACAAAGGGCTCTTTTAGCTCGGATCTGTCTGGGGTCTGACGACAACCATGTATGTAAAAATGTTTATATAATAATAATAATAATATTATAATATATAATAATAATGTGTATATTTAGGATAGTATTTAATATAATATAGAATAGTAATAATAATATATAATAATAATGTGTTTATATTTAGGATAGTATTTAATATATTATAGAATATATTAGAATATATAGGATTTTAACTTTAAGTAGTATACCGGACCATGGAGGAGCGTATACTCCACGATTTGAGTGCATCCTGATGAAATGCCGGGTAGACAAGGTGCGTCCAATGTGTCTTGCGGAGGTGCTGAATAAGGGAAGTTTTCAGATAGACGATGATGTCCTTCCTTATAGGACTCATCAAATCCTGCACAATCAGGAGATCAGCTCTTAGGTGTTTTTTTCCTCTCATCCGGTTAGGTTCTCCTTCGGAAGCATCCCGGCTATGTGAGAGGCTATGTGAAAATTTTTCTTCTTCTTGCAAATAAAAAAAAAGCTATTTTCATACAATATTAAAAATTCATTCATTTCTGTTGCAATCAAAATAAATATTAAAGATTGTGTTAAAATCGTAGAGACGAAGAAAATATGGTTACGTTCTCACAAGAATGGTGGTGGTGGGGCCCATTCTTTATTTTAAGTATATATTCATAATGACACGCGCTACATCAAATGGGACGTGTCAGCTGTATAATGACAGGTTGTGATAATAACCATCATTACACATCCACTAGAAGTTAGTATATATATATTTTTATCTCTTTATCGATCAGTTTTAAAACCGATCTATTTTAAATATATACCGGGTGTCTCAGAGCACCCGTACCACTCTTTTAAAAGGTAGGGATGTGTTTGTACAAAAAAATGGTTCAGATTCAAAATTTGCAGGATTTCAGGAGATCTATCTGATGGTGACCTTGAATTTGACCTTGAGGTCGACCTTGGGCATAACTCAAGGTCAAAGTACCGTTTTACAAATGTAAACCCTTATTCATGACATCACAAATGAAAATAGCGGAAAATTTTACGTCCGAATACGTTATCAAGCCTAGGTCAAAATTACTCTTAGACGTCATGTGGAGGTCAAGTTACTTTTAGAGCACCTGTACCAACCTTCTAAAAGATATGGATGTGTTTGTACAAAAAATAGTTCAAACAATACTAGGTATTTACATAGCTATGATGCATCCATCTGCTGGTGAATTTGAATTCTACCTTTAGATTCATTTGTAGTCGTGTACATCGATTTTTAAAGATTCCTAATTATCAAGATCTTGAACAGTCGATGCCGCCTGTGTCAGCGTTACCCAAGATGTACCACGTGGAGGTCACAAGGTCGGACTTACACCTCGTCGGGGTGCTTTTTTAAGGTGGTTCCCCTTGCCGTCACCTTTGTTCGTACGCATGTGTTCAGTCTAGATTTTCGAAGTGTCCTCCACGTGCATGTATGCAGGCTGTTATTCTTCGTTGAAAATCATCCGTCCCCCGACGAATTTCGACAGGATCTAGAGACTGAATGGCTTCTCGAATTCTGTTCTTCATGTCTTCTGAAGTCGTAGGTCGTTCGCGGTATACGAGGTCTTTTATTCTTCCCCACAAATAAAAATCCAAAATTGTAAGATCCGGTGATCGTGGTGGCCAGTTATGTGGACCATATTTACCTATCCATTGGCCGCGAAATATGCGGTTCAGTTGTTGACGAGCAATGACAGACGTGTGGGCTGGACATCCATCCTGTTGAAACCACATATTTAGACGTAGTTGAAGTGGAATATCTTCAAGTAAACGTGGGAGTTCGTTTTCGAGTAAATCGACTAAACTGAATTAAACTACACTAAACTAAACTAAACTGAACTGAACTGAACTCAACTAAACTGAACTGAACGAAACTTACTTGTTTGTTTTGCTTTTCTCCCTTTGCTCGCTTAAGAGTTTTATAAACTGTCGGTTTTTTTTTAGGTGCGTTTTATACCTAGGTAGGTAGGTACTTAGGTACTTCAATATTCGGGGATTATTATTCATTTATAGGTAGATATGTCTTACTCAAGCGAAGAA